TGATAGCAACCATGGTTTACAATCACTCGAGCAGCTGCCAGTCTGGGCTACCAGGGAATTGAGTGGGGATGATCTGTCTAGCCAAGAGTCACTCCCTCTGTGGGAGAGGGCCCCCATAGCCACAGGCCTGTGTCCCTATATATGGTCCTATAGGGGCCAGACTCAAGGGGAGAAACTGGTTATCTCTAGAGATCTGCTGCTGCCTGACTATTACCCCTGACTAGCCTGGAATTTGCTATGTAAATTAGACTGTCCAACTCAAAAATCTGCCTGCCTTAGGGATTAAAGGTGTGCACCACTGTGCACAGCTTAATAATTATTTTTTTATTTGGTAATGAAGAAGGAATATATAGGAGGCTTAAAAGAAAATACACAGAAATATTTTCCATTAAAAAATTATTGTTAATTGGGTCATATGGTACTTCTGCTTTTAGTTTTCTGAGCAACCTACATACTGACTTCCATAATGAATCGATTTATATTCCCACCAGTAGTGTAGAAGGGTTCACTTTTCCCCATATCCTCATCAGTATTCCTCCTTTTCTCTCTCTCTCTCTCCTGTGTGAGTGTGCGCCCGCGCATCTGCATGCGTGCATGTGTGTGTGAGTACATGTGCACAAGCATGTATTTTTATTGCTTAATGAAAGCCATTCTGACTGGAGTGGAGTAAAATCTCAATGTAATTTTAGTTTTAACTTTCCTGATAGCTAAAGTTACTAAACATTTTTTTCTTAATGTTTATTTGCCATTTATAGTTCATCTCTTCTGGTTTATATGTCCAGAGGACACTATACAACAGAGATGTTTGCACATTCACAGTAGCTGATATACTAAGCCCAGCTGTACATCAGTAGGTGAATGGATTTAAAAAATGCTGTGTAAATGTATAATGGATTTTTAGTCAGTCATAAAGAATAAAATGGTCATTTTCTAGAAAATAGATGCAAATAGAAATAATCCTATTAAATGAAATATAGAAAGACGTTGCGTATTTTCTCTCAGTTATGGGTCTCCTGGTATTCCATATTCATATATGACATGAAAACTGAAGGGATCTGAGAAATTAGGAGGGAAGACTTTGGGGATTGGAAAAAGGGAATGTGGGCTAAAGGGAAGGAGTGGGGATTTGGTCATGATACATTATATACCATACATGATATAATTAAAATTACCTGTATGATACCCAACACTATATACAGTGAATATACCAATATAAAGTGTTAAGTATTTTTAGAGAAAGTGCCACAAAACCTGTGTACAAAACACAGTAGGTACTTGCAAATATTGATGAATAGGTATGTTTCTTGATTTTGTTTTCACCAGTAAAAAAAATAATGTGAAGAAAAGTAGCATGTATTATAGGACTAGATACAATTTACTTATTTATATTATAATAATTCATTTGTTTTATAAGGTGCCTGATTATTATAAAATAATTAAAAACCCAATGGACTTGTCAACCATCAAGAAAAGACTTCAGGAAGATTATTGCATGTATACAAAGCCCGAAGATTTTGTAGCTGATTTTAGATTGATCTTTCAGAACTGTGCTGAATTCAATGAGGTGAGATTGGGAGAGGCAACAGCAATGTGAAGAGTAATCTTAACAAAGACAGCTTGCCAACAGTGAGGTTCTCGCAGTGTCTGTGCTGGTGGAAGTTTGCTGTGTTTTAGGTTTGCCCAGGGTATGAAAGAGATTACTAGGAAGACTTACCCACATTTAATTTTCAGTTTTATCATGTAGTAAGTACAAATGCAAGATACCTGACACCAAGATAGTTTAGAAAATATATGTATTTACCATTTCTTTTATTTTGCAAACTCTGTGTACTTTTAGACTTTGATTTCTGTGTTATCTTGAAATAGTAAGAATCACCAAAAGTTCTCATTTAACAATCTTCTCATGTCACTTTGAATGATATCTTTCTTGTTGGTCGTTCTGTTTGTTCCTTTGTACCACACTTTTTCATTCTTGAGGTTCCTGCCCATGATGACCTTATCTTCTTGGCTAATGTGATCCATCCCTATCATAATCACCTACTTTTTAAATGATTCAATAAAAAAAAACCTTACTTATTATTAGCTGGCCTTCTCTAGACTTTTGTGGCCCCAGACTGTTACTTGTTTTATATTAGTGATACATCTAAATACTTTTCTCACAGTCCATTTGTTTCATAGCTATGTACCAAAAGGGAACAGAATTGACTGAAAAGGAATATTTTATTGAGTAAACTGTCAACCTTTTGGGTTTTAATTCCTATCTTTATTTTATCCTACAGCCTGATTCAGAAGTAGCCAATGCTGGTATAAAACTTGAAAGCTATTTTGAAGAACTTTTAAAGAATCTGTATCCAGAAAAAAGGTTTCCGAAACTAGAATTCAGGAATGAAGCAGAAGACAGTAAGTTCAGTGATGACTCCGATGATGATTTTGTACAGCCCCGGAAGAAGCGCCTCAAGAGCACAGAGGACCGCCAGCTGCTAAAGTGAGCAGCTCCAGAGCCATATACTTTCTAAGAAAATTTCCTTTACAAGAATAAAAACAAAAACCTTGTCAACATCATGACAAAGAAGGTTTATGAGCTCTGATCTGTCTTTGCTGTTTACTAGACATTGATTTCTATAATAACCCATTACTTTGACCTCTTGTCATTGATAATTTAAAAAAAAGAGGAAGGAAGGAAATGTGTGGAAGAGTAAAAGGAAGAAGAAACAGCAAAGAAAAAAAAGACATTCTTCCCACTTCTTGAAAACAACATTCGGGAATAAAAGCTACAATAGAAAATAGATTTTGAAGTAAGTTGAGATTTTAGTGTGATTTGAGTGTGTGTGTGATCATCCATTTTTAGAGTATTAATGCCACTACCCATTAATTATGGCCAACACTAAGAGGTAAGGTATACTGTGCTTAAAAGCAACCCTCCTCAAAGACAAGTGGGAAGAAGAGTCCTTTCCCGGGTGCTTGCTGGGAAGGTGTAGACAGATGCTATTAAGACACCTAGTGGTGTCCATGTAAGATGGCAAATGCATTAAAGAAAATCAGGAAAAAAATGTTTGCTTATTGTTTTTGTTTTTATCTTGTTTGTTGGAGATGTTGGGCATAGCAGGTCTTTAAGGCCATTCTTTCACGTATTTTCCAGATCTACCTTTTTGTTCAGCTTCCTTTAAGGAAGGAAGTATGCATGTTAGGTGTTGCTGTTTGAATCTTGTTTTCCCCCACTGTGTAAGTATGCAAGTGTGCTCGTAAAGCAGGCCTCTTTGTTGTCAGTGTGCTTTTACTCTGGTTTGTTTGTTTTATCAAGACAGGGTCTCACTGTGTAGCCCTAACTGTCCTAGAACTAAAACTCACTGTGTAGACCAAGCTGGCCTTGAACTCAGAGATCCACCTGCCTCTACCTCCTGAGCGCTGGGATTAAAGGTGTGCACCACTATGCCTGACTCGCAGTGTGGCTTTTAGTAGTACCATCAAATATAAAATACAATAGGATACACCAACATTTGAAAGATTTCTTCAACTTCTGCCCTGGTGGCCACCCACTTGAAAAGGCTTTCATTTGTCTTTATCATTTTAAGTGGAAAGTATGTTGTTGGGTTTGGAAAAGATCAGTTGTAGGGGGTGGTATGAGTGGAAAAATAAATTACTTTTTCTGAAGCATCTTTTTGCTGGCTTTCTGATCACTTCTTTTTGTTTTTAAACAGAATTTCATATGTTATCATTGACCTGCCTTAATTTAAATTTAATTTTCTTTCTGGGAGGAGAAAAACTATTTATTCCTTTTGCTTGTTTGATGGGTTGTTGGTGGGTTTTGCTCAGATGAACAGGGCACCAAATGAGATTGAGATAGAATAAAATTGTTAGATTATTGTACTAGCCCAATATTTGACAAAATACAAGAACATTTTTAGTTTGACATAAAACTAATAACCTTTAGTATTAAAACATTTTAATCGTTTGACTAGAGAAAGTTTTTTTCAAGTTGATGGAATAAAACACAGCTGACATGAGGATTTATTTGGTTTCATTGCCTCCCGTGAATTAAAATTTAGGTAGATGTGGTAGATGTATTGGCATTACAATGCCAGCACTTGGAAGGTGGAGGCAGGGGAACCAGAAAGAAGTTCAAGGTCATCCTACAAGCCAAGTTGAGGCCTGCCTATGCTATAGTAAACCCTGTTTGAGTGGGGGAATGATGATGGCTTACGTTACTTACTAAGACTGCTAGCTGGAAAATGGTGTATTTATACGTTATTAGCAATAGTTTACCATTCTCTCAACAATCTATAATCCAGTTATGTATTGTAACAATCTTAATCCGCTTTCTAAATAATGTGTTATGTGGTGATGTTTGTTGTGTTGATTTGAACGTGCAGCTGACATTTGTTCTGCAAACATAGTCTGAACAAACCTTGACAATATATAGACCCTTGGAGAAGTGAGGTTCAGTTCAGTTTGGCCTTGAACTCTGGTCCTTCTACCTCTTCCGCCCTGGTGCAGGGATTAAAGTAGTGTGCTACCATGCCCTCAGCTTGGGGATTTTTTTTGTTTTGTTTTGTTATTGGGGGTAAATGGATAATATGCATTCCTTTAACTTGTATGGTTGAGGCCAGCATTTTGAGTGCAGCAGCTGTGGAACCTGTTTTTTTAATATTTTAAAATTTATTTATCTTTATTTTACGTGTATGCATGTTTGCCTCCATATATGTATGTGCACCATGTGTGTGCCTGGTGCCCACTCACCTAGGCTAGAAGATATTGTGTACCCTAGAACTAGAGTTACAGAGGATTGTCAGCCACCATACAGGTGCTGGGAACCAAACCTGGGTCCTCTGCTCTTAACCACTGAGCCATCTCTCCAGTCCCAGCTGTGGAACTCTGGGCAGTACATTTCTTTTTGCTCTCTTAGAATACTGTTCTCTGATTGTCTTCCATAATTTCCATTTGTGTTAAAGCAGTACTTATGTAAATTATTTTGAGAATTACCATTAAGGGGGAGGCAGGGCTTCAATAAGGTAAACATAATTTTTATGTATTTCAGCCAGAATGTCTACTAATACATCCCAAACAGTCACTATGCCATAGTAACTTTTCACAATGTTACATTTCACCATTACCAGGTTTTGCTGAGTCAAAGACAGTTGAGAACCATGTTTCATGTAACGATACATAATATATTATTAAATGTCTTGAGTTTTTTTTCTACAAGTAACACTGCTGTATGATCTCTAAGTCTCCTGACCATTCCCTCTGTCAAAGGTTTATAGATACACAGACGGCACTGGGGATAGGATTCACTTAACTCCAACTTTAAAGCTTTCCACGTGCCAACCACCTGATGTTTGTGGTAGTAAGGAGACTCACAGCGATTGCATGGTCAAGGCAGAAGCATGAATGGACTGGGCATGGGCAATAGTAAAAGGAAATAACACCTTTAAATCAGCACTTGGCAGTGTGATCCCCTTTGTGCTTTTGAATTCACAGGCCCACTTCTTTTCTGGATAAAAGAGTGGGAGGAAGAAAATAACTTCCACCACGTAGTTTTGCTTTTCCAAGCTAAAGAATGGGCTTTGTGCTTTGCAGCCACACAGATGGATAGGTGCAGAAGAGTAATTTGAGAATGCTGTCAGAAGGGCATCCCCAGTCACAATGGTGAATACACTGTCGATTTCTCATTTGAAAGGGTGTTTGTAGTTAACTGCTGTACCGGTATGTCCATTTTTATTTTTATTCTGTTTAGCATGTAAAGGAGGCTCCTTTGCTGAGGCCTGGGCAAACTAATGTGAACCAAAAGATTTAGGTTTCAAATGAAAATGTCATAAAAAGAAAGCTGTATTCATCTTCTGTTATCCAAAATCCGTAGGAATGAGGGAAATAGAGAGTGATCTGGTTGGTCCTTAAAATTATGGACATGACTTGAATTCAACTACTATATTTTTTATCAAATAACATGCCATATTTTTAAGTATTTTTATAGTTCCATGTCAACTAATAATTGATAATTTTACATCTGTTTTGCCTTGGGTAGGAATTCTGCCATAATTCCCGTGCAGGTAGGTGCCATATGTCCCTGCGACAGTCAGGTCACAGGCTTCTCCAAGGAGGTTCGCAAGGTGTGAAGAATATCTGAGGGAGGCAACAGTAATTCTAGAGTTTGGTTTTTGTTTCTTCAAGGATTGATGCTTTAAATTTAATAAAAATCAACTGGTGGATTTTCTACTGTGAATATTTTATTACAGCAGAGACTTTTAATTGGAAGACTTGATGAAAACATGCATTTTATTGCATTTTACCTGGTTTTGGCCCTTTAATCCTACCATCGTGTAGTCTTACAGCTGTAGTGTTGTTACCTGTAGGGATGTGCTGTGATCTATAGATAACAAGAAAACTTTAATTCTAAAATGTATTTTCTAGACCTTAAAAAGATAAGCCAAGAAAAAATTAACAAATGGGAAAGAAAAATACACTAGTATTTACCTCCTTGGAAGTAGATTTTATCAATAGTGATACTGATTACCTGATCCAGTCCTTTTAAGGGTATACTGATGATGGTGTTAAAGCCACTCAAACATACAGAAAGTCCAGTTCATGTTACAGAAGGAAATTTTGTCATGAAAATCCACTGGGAGAAGAAGGCGGCACAGGCTGTGGAATTGTCTTAAAACTTTGCTTATATTAATTTTATCTTAAAATTTTGGAAAGTATGATACTCAGAAATGGTCGCATTTTATAAGTCGCTACTGAGCTTTTTAAATATTTATTTATTTATTTTTATGTGTATTGGTGTTTTGCCTATATCCATCTCTGTGCCATCAGCATGAGGTACAGACATGTATCTGCTGGGAATTGAACCTGGGTCCTCTAGAAAAGCAGTGAGCGCTCTTAACCACTGAGCCATCTCTCCGTTCCCACCACTGGGCTTTTAATAGATCTTTCTTTGGAGATAATCTGATTTAAACTAAAATAAATAGATCTAATTGAATCCTAGAATGTCCTTCTTTGGTACTTTATAATATTTAATAAGGTTCTGACTTTGCACATTCTCTAATGTGACTTGAAAGAAGGGTGGTTTTATCATCTCCTACCATTTAGCAGAAAGTATGGGAACAAATTCTTTGCCTGGGTTCTTATGTGTTAATCCCAAGACAAGTGAGCCAGAAAATGTAGTCTGGTATCAATAGTAACAGTTATCTAATCCAGTCTCTTTAACAGTATACTAATCATGTGTATATGAAATTCCAAAATAAAATTTAGCATCATATTACAGGAAGTAACTACCTATTATAAATAATACTCTAAAGAATTTTAGATCAAATTCTATATGCAAAACTATTAGATTCTGACATACTATTTCTACTACACTTTTTATTATTCTTTAGTACATCAACCAATAATGACTCAGTCTTTAGGGATCTTTGAAACAAGCCCAATAAGTTCTTAAAAGAAAATGACTTGGAATTTGTTTGTACTAATGACTAATAAGGTAAGTGCCCTAAACAATTTTGTCCACAGTTTGTGTTGTAGAAAGGTGCGTTATCAAGCTAGTTATCAAGGACTCTGTTAAAATTATGCTAATAGCTTGCTATAGGCTTGATTTGTTGTTGAGCAAAGCCTGTGTGCTAGACAGTGCTGGGCAGCTCTGTGAAGTTCCTTTAGCCTGAGTATTTCACACTGAGAATTCTGAAATCCTAAGAGCGTGCTTTGTCCTTGGTTGGATTTTACTATTGCTAGCCTTTGAAAAATGAGTGTCTTCAAACTTCAGCTTTGGGATTTTCAGTTATGACTTATAGTAGCTTGCTTGTCTTGCCCCTGCAAGTGTAGCCAACATAGTTTTCCATCAAATATATTTGTCCTGAAATAATAACTAGGCTTTAAGGTGATTGTCTGCCTGTTAGCCAGATTAATCACATGAGCTTTCGTATAGCTTGAAGTTAGAAATGTTGTATGCTTATAAGAAAGCTTATGTGTATAACTTGAAAAGCCTGTAATACAGTTGGTCTTTCAAATGCATGTGGTTTTTGGTTTGTGTTGGTTTGCTTTTTGAGATGGAGTCTTTCTACACAGCTTGTAGCCCTTGGCTGTCCTGGGACTCTAGATTAGGCTGACCTTGAACAGAGAGATCTGCCTGCCTCTGCCTGCCAAGTGCTGGAATTAAAGATGTGTGTAGCTTATCCACAACCAGTTAGATCACTATTTAGTGCAGGGGATGTGTTTGCTGCGAAGTGTTGGTGCCCTTTAATCCCAGCACTCAGGAGACAGGAGCAGATGGATCTCTGTGAGTTCAAGGCCAGCGTATTCTGCAGAGCAAGTTATAGGACAGCCAAGGCTACACAGAGAAACCATGTCTCAAGAAACCAAAATAAAGTGTTCATCCTAAATATACACAGACAACTCTGTCATTATTTCATACATTTCATTGCTGTAATTGATGCAGTTTGGAGATGACAGAAATATAAGGGAGGAATGTACGCATACTGTACCATCCTATGTAAGATGGGCTATTTGGTCTCCACCAGGAGTCTTGGAACCAATCCTCTAAGTTCATAAAACACTGGCTGATTTTAAGCCATCCGTAGACTGGTTTAAATAGGGGTTGTTTGCTTCCTAAGCAGAGGTTATGCCTCATGTATGCAGTGTGCTAATACAGCATTTCCTTGTGGCTGTAGCTGCAGTCTTTTTCCACTGCTAATAGCAGGGGACTCCTGAGCCCCCTGGTAGTCTGAAACTCTGGTGGACCTCCATATAAGACTGAACAGCAGTAAAAGATCTTTGTATGTTTTCTTTCCAAAGCACGTCTTTTCCAGTAGAACGCTCACAAACAGTAAGTAGTTACATGTTATAGGAAATCATCAAGAGAATCAATGATTCCCTCCTAAGATTAAAAAAGGACAGTGTGTATGGGAAAATTAACTTTATTCCCAGCTTATTGGTAGTTACATATAGAGTAAAGTAGTAGTTCTTTTTTAAGCTACCAAGGCCATAATTTAAAATCAGTGATACCAGCCTTGTTTCTTGCCTTAACTACAGAATCTCCGCCCTTCAGCCACAGACCACATGGAGCAATACCAAGTGTTTTGTCTTAAGGTTAGCAGTTCTTGATGCTAAGTAAGAAAAGGGTATATTCTTCACCCACCACCTTCTCCTATTCCCATTCAATCTCGGGGTTTATTTGTTTGTTTGGGGTGAGGGAATAAGTGGTTTGGAGGGAGGTTTTGTTATTGAGTTTTTTATTTGGTTTTAGGCACCCAGGCTGACTTCATTTGCCTTATAGCTGAACTGTGGCAAAATATAAGCTATAAGAATTTGCATATATTGTTTCCTAAGAAATAGATTCCCTGCTGCATTTTTGTGTGTGCCTTAGTTGTCTTAAAATACACTTGTTTTCTTAATTATCATATGCAAAAATAAAACCATTTAAAATATTCAATAACAGTGAAGATCAAATATTCATTTTTCGTCTGATGACCATAGTATTGCAGGTCCTTATTTAATTTGCTATGGGAGAAAAAAAGAAAAGAAATTAGTTGGTAAGTCTTTGTTCTTAATACAATTTACAAGGAATTAAGATCTATCGGTTACCCTTATTTATGAAATGACAATTGCTAGCTTTAAAATTTAAAGTTGGTGCAACACAGGCATGGTCTAAAGAAATTCACACTAGAAATACATTGTTTTTATGTACTTGAACTCATGTCACCTGCCTCTGCTTCTTGAGTGCTAGGATTGAAGGCATGAGCCACCATGTCTGATGCTACAAACATTCTTTAATGATTGTATATTTTTTTAAGTTTATTGACTCAACACTACCTTTAAGCTAGTAAGCAAGTTGGTTTATCATATGGCTGCTACACTGTTGTCTTGTTTTTGAAAAGATGTGCATATGATCACAGCAGTGAAGTGTGTGTGTTTGATTATCTTGAAGGTATGCCACCACTCGATGGCCAGGGCATGTTCATATGCATGTATCGCAGCGACATATTAGTATTCTACAATGCCTGATGTGGGAGTGTCATATATCAATCTGTTGATTTCATTGGCTGAGCAATAAAAGAAACTGCTTGGCTGGCCCTCAGCTTAGAACATAGATGGGAGGAGTAAACAGAATAGAATTCTGGGCGGAAGAGGAAGTGAGGTCAGGCTCTGCTCCCGGAGAGACTCGACAGCTCTGCTCTGGAGCAGAGACGCCATGCTTGCCATGCTACACTCTCCCATCATGGACGAAGGCTAGAATCTTCCCGGTAAGCGCACCTTGGGGTGCTTACACACATCATTAGAAATGGGCTAGTCCAGGTGCGAGAATTAGCCTGTAAGGGCTAGAGTTCATGGGCCAAGCAGTTCTTTAAATGAATACAGTTTGTGTGTTGTTATTTCGGGCATGAGCTAGCCAAGCGGCCGGGGTGTTGGGGACGCAGCCCCGCCTCCGCTCCTATTTCAACAAATGCCCAATGCTGAGTTCTTTGGTCACGCCTCAGCAACAGGAAAAGGACAGGCTTTGTAGGTAGATAGGAGTTAGAAATCCATAGGGCACATTAAAAGATCTGTTAGGTTTCTTCATTCTTATTTGTACAAATACTTTTAAAATTGTGGAGCTCATACCTAATAACCGTAGCATTTGGAAGGCTGGGACAGGAAGGTCCCAACAAATGTAAGAAATGGAAAATTTGGAAGGGAATGGAAGATTAGCTTAAGACTTGGTGTTTTATTTTTTTTACATTGGCATAAAAATCTGCCCAACTTGTGCCCTAGTTAGTCTTTGTATAAAGGGTGTGGTGACCCTTTGTAGTGCTGAAAGGAAACATGTGAGTCCTAAGCATTCGGTAATAGGGCAACTACAGATTATCTCTTAGCTTTTGCTGTAAGGTAGAAAAGTTCCCCAGACCCTCCTGTCATGTACCCGACTCCTTTAGATAGTCAGATCTAGACTGGCATCTGTGCTCCATACTGAAAGTCCAGCTTCCCCGGGACTTGTGCACAGAGGTATGTTAAGGAGCCTGTGTCCTGCCTTCATCCACAGCCTCCAGAGAAATAAGGGACCAAAATACTGCCTGCCTTCATTATCTCTAAAGTTAAGTAGACCAATCATGAAAGATGAGAAAGGGAAAAAAGCCAGTCCTTGCAGCGGAACTCATTGCTTTGAGGTGGTGGAGCCATTAGGGGCCATCAGGCCATATGAATGGTCCCTTCCCTAGTCAGTGTCATGGTCATCTGTAAGGAGTTTACACAGGCAGGCACCTTTTTAGGTAGATGGGCTTTAATGCAGCTCAAGCTATTCCAGATGCAGTGGAACTAGAGGTCAGTTTACTTGTGGGCAGATGGAAATCACAGACAGTAGGTGTCCAAAGCTCATATTCCAGCCTGTTTCTAGATGGGGAAACACTAGCTCATGATGCCTGAAGTAAGGCCTCCCAAAGCTGCAACCTACACAGCTGTCCCAGGGAAGATACACTAAAGCTTTTACCACTCTGGGTATTGGGGAAAGAAAAGTAGCCTGTTGTATCCCACCCATGTGATCCTAAAGGCTCCGTAGCACTGTTTCAACTCGGCCCCATGGTTTGTTCAACAGTAGCTTTTACGTGAAAATATATAAAATGAATTATTTGTTAACTTCAACTTTATTGCTGCTCAGAATTTCAATCAGGACGCTCTAATGAGGTTTCTTTGCCTGCTTAAGTAAAGGCTACCCATATCTCAAACTTCTCTTGGGTCAAAAAGTGGTGGCCAAGGAGCTAAGAGGTGTCTCAGCAGATAAGTTATTGTTCTGAGTTCAGTTCTCAGTCAGCACCCCACATTGGACATCTCCCAAACTCCGGGGGGATCTGTACTCATTCACATACCCACACAGATACATATGCATACACATCATTAAAAATGGGTTTTCTTACAATCATCACCTAAAAACCAAGAGCTTCCTGAGTCCCTTACCTGCAAAGCACGTCCTTTGGTCTCAATGGGTAGAGTAAATGCAGAAATGGCACATACAACACAGACAGATGAGAAAAGACATAGGGCTCCCAGGAATGAGGCGCTCATTAGGACCTGTAGGTAAAACAGAAAGACTTCACTTATTTTATAGCACAGGATTTGCCCAATACATATATAAGTGGTCTGTAGCCAGTTCTGTACATAGTGCTTTTGAAACATTGGTTTGATTAGACCAAGTTGGTATCGTGAGTGCCTGGCATTAATGCACACTGGATGATAGCTTCCATCTCTCTGCACCTGCCTGTTCTCCAGCTGCTCTTAACTCCTAACCTCCTCACTTTGTGATTCACTTTCACCAGTGTCCCCTCCCTCCTTCACTTGTGCCAGGACATTTTTTCAGCAGAGAGATAAGCTCCAGAGTCTGAAAACATTGCTAATTCATCTTGTCTCTATTCGCGGTGTTTTGTGTGATGGTCAGAACTTGCTTTTGTTGCTCAAGACAGGATTTCTCTGTGTAGCCCTGACTCTTGGAACTCACTGTAGATCATGCTGGCCTCAAACAGATCTGTTGCCTCTGCCTCCCAAATATCAAATACATCTTTTGGGTGGATCTTTTCACTTTGCTACTGTTTAATAATGACTTCATGCACCTGTTTATATAGGAGAGTTGCCTATACAGTGAAAAGGAACAAGAAGGCCTGTTAGAACCAGACTGTGTACAATTTAGAAAGATCTGGAAATTAGTGATAATACCACCATGTATGTTCTTTTAAGATACCAAACTCAGAAACCCAACTCCAGTATATAAAGTCTACTGCTTTTCAGACTGGCAAATAACTCACATATGTAAGCAGAACCCAACATATTAACATCTCTAATTACTTGGAGTTGACCTAGCAAATGATAATGTTCTGGTCTGGGAAGATCCTGGATTGGGGGGGTGTGCACTGTAGGGCTTGGGAGTAGCAGAGTCTCATGTACCACGGGCTGGCCTTGAACTCAGTTCTCTGCCTCTGAATGCTAGAATTATAGGCACGATTTACCTAGTTCTCAGCTCGTTGATTTTCATCAACAAAGTAAATTTTTCTGAAGCAGGAGGCTGGGGAAACAAACCAGAGGAGACTAGGTAGCCTGTACAATGCATGACGAGGTCACACAATAGAATGTCTAGAATCTACCACTTTGATTAATGCACCTCGAAATTCTCATCAGCACCAGAATGGGTTCTAAATTATCCCTAAATATATTTATTTGCGCCTATTTCAAAGTACTGAGTTGGATAAGGCCCTGAAGGGTTGAGTTTAAATCCCATCACTATTCTATCAGAGAGCAACTGTCTTTTTGCTTCCCTAGAGAAATACAGGGCTCCTCTTTGTGGCAATCCAGTCTATAGCTGTGACTGTACACTCTTATACAACCTAAGCTAGCCTAAGTAATTTTCTGTTACTTGTGAGCAAGAAGTCTATGGAATTATCAGATTATAGAAGTCATCTGGAGACCTAAGAATGTAGCTCAGTGTTAGAGCCCATGCTTAACATGTATGAGCCCTGAATACAGTCAGCATCATTAAAAAAAATAGTTAAAATGCATAGTTCCAGAGTTCACCCAGATTGACTAAGCTAAAAAGGAACGTAGTCTCTACTTGTAAAAGATAGTTACAAACACAGGGGTATAGCTTACCTAGCCTGTGAGAGGCTCTTGGTTTAACCCTAAAAACTAAAAAGCAGGGTTGGGGACGTAGCTCGTTGGAACAGTGTTTACCTAGTATGAACATGGACCAGGGTTCAAGCCTCATCGGGGAGGAGAAATACTAAAGAGGAACCTAGATTAAAGGCAAGGAGCGTTATGTGACAAAGGTCAGTCTATCAAGACAAGTCATAAGTTAATATACAAGATGAAAGAACTCAAACAGAGGAGAAATAATTCACACGACTGGAGACTTTATTTAATGTAGTCCTTCCTTATTTTAAGATTTTTTTATCTTTCATTTATGTGTGTGCATATAAGAGTGAAGATGCCCATTAAGGCCAGAGGGGGTAATCAGATCCCTTGGAGCTAGAGTTAGAGAAGTTCTGAGAGGCCTGATGTGACTGGTAGACACTAAACTGTGGTGCTCTGGAAAACCAACAAGAGTTCTGAAATAAACAGAACATGAAGGGGCTGGGGGTATAGCTCAGCGGACTGCAGCCCACTATGCACCAAGCACTGGCTAAACAGTTCATGGTAGTATGCGCTTGTAATCTTAGCACTGGGGCCATCCATCTTTTGGGCGATGGCTTACAACTCTGAGGAGAGCATGGACTACATAAATCCTGTGCTCAAAATTAAACAGGCATGAAAAAATAGAAAAATGTATGCTCAGACATTAATTAAATGAACAGCACATGAATGAGTTTTAGTTCTTTAAAGTCTTACATAATTTTCACCAAGATAATTTGTAATTCTAATGGAAATAAAAATTCCCAGTAGGAACTTCAATCAAATTAGAAAAGAAAATGCTTTTTAAAATGAACTTGAAAGAATATGTAGGAAAAAAATCAGGAAACCTGAGAATTGTCAGTGAGCCCAAGGGAAGTTATTAGCTTCAGGTATGAAACATTAGGTTATGGAGTAGAGCAATAAAGTGGAGAATCACAAATATAGTGAGTGCTATAGTAGGGACCTAGTAAATCAGCTGAGAGGAGGCTGATGGTTAATGGCCATTAGTCTATTTTATATATGCTAGGGAGGTTCTCTGCTGTTGAGCTACATCCCAGATCGTTTTGTGGCTTTTGAAAGCTAGATTCTTACCTCAGGTCTTAAGAATAAAGTAGAAATCAAAGCTTAAGAAGTAGATGAGTGTAACCAGGCATTGTGCGTGCCTTTAAACCCAGCACTTGGGAGGCAGATATGGGGCTCTCTATGAGGTTAGTCTGGTCTACATAGAGTTACAGGATAGCCAGGACTACATAAGAGAGACCATGTCTTTAAAAAAAAGGGGGGGGGGCAGATGAATGTATGATACTCAAGCATGACAAAAACACCATTTAACTATAGGTTAAAATAATTGGTTCATTAACTATATAAACATTTATGCTTATAGGCCAAAATGTTTTGATAGTAAAATCAAAAGGCAAACTGTAAAACTACCTGTATTGTAGGGGCTGGAGAGATGGTTCAGTGGTTAATAGCATGACCACCAGCCGGGCAATAACGTGAGTTCAAGGCTGGTCTACAAAGTTCCAGTAGAGCCAGTGCCGTTACACAGAGAAACCCTGTCTGGGGCAGAGGGGCGGGGCGGGGGGGGGGGCCCATAGCCGAGAACCTGAGTTCCATTCTAAGCACCCATGTCAGGCAGTTCAGAGCTGCCCATGGCTCCGGCTCCAGAGAGATACAACATGCATCCATGTGTACATACCCCCCTGCAGATATATGTGCACACAAAAAACTTAAAATAAAAAAAAAAACTAAATCTTTGTTTCTATTACAATGATAAAATGGAGTTCTACTATGACAAGATCAATGCCCTTCTAGAAAGAGGAGATACCAAACATTCCGTGATGGGAGACACCTACAAGCCAGGAAGAGGGAGGGCTCTGACTAGAACTAAATAATGTCTGTTTATTCCCACTCAGCCCAAGGTATCTTGTTTACTCCAGTTGAATAGTGATGCAGCTGATAGAAACTGTAGGGAAGGAATCTGTGGGGGAAAAATGTCTGGAGTTTAATCAGAAATGCAGGAATTAGGATTCTTTTGAGACAGTCAAATGGAAATGCTGAGGACGTAATTAGAAGAATCTGGAGCTCAGAATCAAGGCCCGATGCAGAGATGCAAAATTAGGAGTCATGAATTTGAGCATGGCAGCAGAGCTGTGATCCCAGCACTTGGGATTAGAAGCAGGAGGGTTGGGATTTCAAGGTCATCCTCTGCTACAATAGAGCATTTGAGGCCTATCTGGACTACTTGAGATCCTGCCTGTCTCAAAGGGGCTGGATGGGAGGGTGGGACAAGTAGCAAAGTCTGATACCGCCAAACCTAAATTCAATACCTATGATGGATCCACATGTTGGGAAGACTGACATTCTTGTACATCATGGCATATCCATGTTCATGTGCACACACAAATTTAAAGCTGGAGCCGATGGGCATATAGTAATTTAAACCCTAAAATGATGGTGTGTAAGCACAGTACAATGAGGAAAGATCAGTGTATAATACTAAGCAGTAAGAAATTTCCAACAAATAAAGAAGAAGAATAAAAATAAACCTTAAAGCATTAAAGCAACTGAGATGAATCCACCAGAAACTTAGGAGGAAAAAAACAAGAAAATAAGATGATAGAAGCTACCAGAAGGGAGCAAACTCCTTAATATGGCTGGGAGCTCAAGTAATTTTGAATTTAGATCTCTGAGCAGGGATGCAGTAGGGGTTACTGCAGGACTCAGGAAAGGAGAGTGGAGTGAAGAAACTCCTCTTAGTTTACTGGAGAGTCCAGAGGACTTAGTTTACAGTCTGATCAAAAGCATTCTGCATGGATGGAATGTAGCAGTACAGAAAGGATGCGATTACAAACCTGAAAACTCAGGAGACATGATGAGCAACCATTCAGAATAAGATCAGTCAGCTGGCTTTAAAACAATAGCCAGGGGTTGGGGAAGTGGCTTGGGTTAAAGCAATTCAGATCCCCAGTACCTGTGTTAATGCCCAGCAAGCCAGCCCACTGGCGGATTCAACAAGAGACCCCTGATTCAGAGAATAGTGAGTGATAAAGGCACTTGACACATTCACCACATGCATGAGCATCTGCTTACACATGTGCATACACATGAATATGTGTTCAAACAAGTTAAAATAGAAGTTAGATATTTTATACTTTGAGATTTATTTATGTCTGAACTTAACAAAGCCCGAGTCTATCAGGAGCTATTGAAGACGCAGTCCCAGCAGAGACGCACAGATGGGAATGAACAATGGACACACAATTGTCCTACTCTTCACAGATGCCAGCTTATACTTTAGATCTCAATTTCAATGGCACTTGCCATCCCTTTGCTCATATTGTTTCCAAAGCACTCATCAGTTTGAAATTATCTTCATTACTTGGATATTTATAAATTACCCAATTCCAATGTAA